TGCATTAGTTTCAGAAAGAGTTAATGGTGAAGTTGTATTATGTCCACATAACCTGATAATGTCACACAATCTTTGGATGGAGAAATAGTTCATCTTGCATGTGGTCCTGATGGAGGCACAATGATATACTTTGCTCTTGATAATTATAATTATTCTAACTAGTTAATATTAATTGTGCCTTTTGCTATCATCCAATAAATTATGCCTTGTTATGCAAGACTGTTAAGATTCTGGAGTGATCTATTCTCTTAGACTCAGCATCGAAAGCAGCATTGGTACCTGCGAACAAACCCAACCACAAGCCACTAGTGTTTGGTAACTAGAAGATATCATATGCTGACAAATGAAACAGTGTCCACTAGTTTAAATGCTTTATTACTGTTAAGAGTAATTTTTTAATCAGCACTATTGCTATTGGCGGTGAGGTAGGGCTAAATGTGAATAAATTATGATGGCCCACATTTGCCTAACCTGTACCATGATCATGTCTCCATGTTTTAAGGCTGGACTGCCAACATCTGAGTGAGGAGCATAATGGGGTATTATTTCCATGAATAACAGGACTTAAGAAGCCTCAAACTTGCAGTCAACTATAGGACCAACAAATCAACAGATTTCCTAAGCTCTGATCCTCAGCTCCTTCTCTACAAGTTTTACATCTTTTCACATGCATTACTCAAAACTTTAAGGGTGAAATCTTACCAGATCTTGAACAACATGGCAAGAAATCTGGGAGAATCACTTGAGAAGTCCAACAAGGCCTTTCTGGATATTCGGAGTAACTAGCTGCATTTTCCAACATAGTTTCAGGCATCGAGGCAAGATGTAAGGCAGCAGGGAGATGCCTAGTTACAGGGGTTAACAGTTTGTGATCACCCTCATTAATATCCTACCACCCACTGTGAGAAAATTAGATGCCAAGGATTATTGACATGGCTGTCTAAATGGGTACCTGCTGACTCCAACTTGCCACTTGCTCCTGTACCTGGGGCACCATGCACTAACATTTCTGGGCACACTCCATGGTAGCAGCCTCACACCCCCCTCCATGTCCACAGGCATTGGCATCTGACACCTGCCAGCTGCTAAGGACTCTCATGGCATCTCTCCAATCCATTTGTAGATACTTCTGCATTTTAAAGCTGCATTTCCGGGTGCATCGACAACTAGCATTGAAATGCTGCTGTATAGACACCACAAGGGAGAGACACTTAGCTAATGAATTAAAACAGGCTTCATCTGAGGGCTGCTCACTTGCTATATCTTTCAGTAAGAGGTCACTCTAATGCCAACAGAATATGCCAGCTGCCTGCGCAGCAAACATACTGCATGTTTATTCAACTGAATGGCCATGTTGGAAAGTCTATCCTCAGCTGGGACAAGTGGGATAATGTCAGTCAGGAGCTCCTGGTACAGTCAGCAAAGACCAGATTCCACTCATAATCCAGGGCTTGGCCACTGTCAGTGGTCTGCTTGGGGCAGTCACAGTTAGGAGCTTCATCTGACGACAGTGTGGGGAGTGAGCCATGGTCAGTCCTACGGGGC